TTTTTTTTTTTTTTTTTTTTTTTTTTTTTTTTGACAGAGGTGCCAAGCAAGAATCAATGAAAAAGAAACAACAACAACAACAACAAACGGTTACCGCTAATCGTAATAATCAACAACAACAACAACAACAGCAACAGCAACAAACTACGATCAATCAATTAAAAAACACTATAAAACCAAAACTGACGCACCGTAGTTTAGTTGCACTCGTTAGAAAATAATCTTTTGCCACGAGACTGCGTAGTCTCGTCGGAAATTAAAAATACGAGCGGAGAAATTCATTCATCAGAGAGACGAAGAAAAAGAAAAAGAAAAAGAAAAAGAAGAAGAAGAAGAAGAAGAAGAAGAAGACTAAGAAGAAAATGAAGGGATGAAGCTTTGCAGCGTTTTATAAAAAAAAAAACACCCACACACACACACACATAAAAAAAATTAAACGTCTGTTCAGATAATAATAATAATAATAATAATTAATAATAATTAATAAGATTAATGATAATAATTCTAAAAGAAAATGGAATACAATGAAAGAAGAAGAAGAAGAAGAAGAGTAACAAAAACAACAATCAACCAACAGAAGATGAAAACATATAAAACTGGATTTAAAAAAAAAAATAAAAATAAAAAAAACAACAACGCTGCAATCTTTTGAAGAAAAATAAATCCAAGGTGTGCCTGGGCTTTAGTACTTTTTAGCAAGGACGTTGATTACGAAATAAAAAATCGGAACCGGGACAGGGGCCGGGGCAGGGGCCGGGGCCGGGGCCGGGGGGATGGGGGCTGAGAGATTAAGAGGATGATGTACGACGAAAAAGATTTTTGTTCTAAAAATGATGATGAAGATTAAAAATGAAAATACAACATAACAAAAGAAGAAAGCCAAAAAAAAAAAGAAAAGAAAAGAAAAGAAAGGAAATAAAGAATTGTTTTCCATAATTTCAAAAAAAGAAGAAAAAAAAAAAAGGTAAAAAAGCAACAACCAAACAACAACAACAAAAAGAAAAAGAAGAGTCAAGTTTTTACAGCTTTGTTCGTTATCGAAATATATAAAAATAAATAATACAGCAAAGTTATAGGATTTTAACGCGTACGCGTATCAATATTATACTCGTACGTATATAATTATAATATTTAATTATAATTATTATACGTAAATAGAAAATGGTCAGAAAAAAAAGAAAAAGAAAAAGAAAAAGAAACTTAAACAATACCCCAAAAAAAAAAATGAAAAATAATGAAAAAAAAAACAAAAGTAGACAAAGGAAAAAAAATTATTCTACGTTTCAGTACGAAGAGAATTGTTCTTGCAATCTCTCTCTCTCTCTCTCTCTCTCTCTCTCTCTCTCTCTCTCTCTTCCTATCTCTATTTCTATTTCTATCTCTCTCTCTCTCTCTCTCTCTCTCTTTCTCTATTTCTATATACGGATCTAAAAGAAAAACGATCTGATTGTAATCCACGAAATTTAATGCATGCAATAATGTTTACCAAGTGTGTATCTACATTGCCTTTAAATAATAGTGCGCCCCCTCCCTCCTTCAC